ATCTTTTTGCTTCTTATAGTAGTGTTTTCTTATTTTCTTTTTATAGATCATTTGTTTTCCTGTTTAGATTTATTCATAAATATTTTATTTTTGGGGTGGCTATAGTGGTTACAAATTGGGCTGCTAATCTCAAGGTCAGCAGTTTGAGACTACCAGCAGTCCCACAGGAGAAAGATGATGCTTTCTGATCCCATAAAGATTTACAGCCTCAGAAGCCCTGTGCAGGGTTACTATGGGTATGAACCCACTCGGCGGCACTTAACAAAAACAACATTGTAAATGGTATTGTCTTCCTAATTTCCCTTTTAGAGCTGTCTTTATTAATATAGAGGAATCCAACTGATTTTTATACATTGATTGTGATGCCGCTTTGCTGAAATTTTCAATTAGTTCCAGTAATTTTCCTGCTGAGTCTTTGGGATTTTCCATGCATAGGATCATATCATCTACAAATGGAGAGAATTTTACTTCTTCTTTGTTAATAGTTATACCTTTAATTCCCTTTCTTGCCTGATAGCTCAGACTAAGTCTTCCAACACAATATTGAACAGAAGCAGTAATAAAGGGCATCCTTGTCTGGTTCCTGTTCACAAAGGGAACATTTTCAGTTTCTTTCCATTGAAAGTAATGTTTTAAAATTTCTTTAAAATATTATAGCTTGGGGCTATAAAGGCACAAAGTGAATGGCTTACAAGTTTTCAAGAGGGAGTTTAGTTTCAGAGTGTGCTGGGGAAGGTAGAATCCCCACTGAGTGGTTTTCATCCTGTCTAGATGGACATGGGGATAAGACTCTCATGATTCAATAGTAATTGTTATCATGACTATTTGCAATTGTTGATACAATTGTAAAGGTAGAAGTTTTGTAGCACAAAGGGGGGTGTGGTTGATCTTACAGTCCAGGAATGGAGGACCTGGGACCATTAAGGGAGAAGAGCAGGAGCAGAGTGTGGGACATTATCCAGAGAAGTGGTGATGCCAGAGATGGAGGTAGAGATGATGATGTGGAGAGATGGAGCAGCTGAGGACTGTAGACTCATGGAGGGAGAGGGACTGCGCACTGGAGACCCAGGCTTGCAGGGTGTATCCTTTGGTTGTGTGAATGATTGTATATTCCTGAATGTTTTTGTGTACATCCAAAAAATAAAAAACAAAAACAAAAAACCAGAGGGAATAGAAGCAAATACTGCTGAATGCTGATGCATGGAGGGGACTGTAATCATTGCAATGAAATTAAATACGATAGGATGAGTGTAAAACTGATGTTCTCATGTGTAAACTGTCACTCAATTCACAATAAAAACAACAACAAAAAATTTATTGGAGTTTGCTTTGTGACCTAACATATGGTCTATTCTGGAGAATATTCATGTGCACTGGAAAAGAATGCATGTTGTGCTATTGGGGTGAGTGCTTTGTGTAACTCTATGAGGTCAAGTTGATTTATTGTTCCTCTGTGTCTTTGTTAAATTTCTTTCTAGTTGTTCTGCACTTTTTTGAAAATGGTGTGTTAAAATCTCCTACTATTATTTTTAAGGAGATCTGGTAGTGTAGTGGTTACGAAT